CAAGTAGTTAAGTAGACCAGATAAAAATCACGATCAATAGTCCTTGAAATAAAATTCATTACTTTTATGAAAATTCTAAATTATCTGATGAAGCTTTGCCCATTTATTTGTATTTTTTTCATTTCTTATTTACTAATGTATCAGCTTAGAATTTTAGAATATAATTTTTAATACCATATTTAATACCATATTTCACGTGAGACTTGGAAGAAGATGTAAGAAAATAACAATCCATTTTGTTTAAAAAATATATAAAGAAATGTAAGTTATTAATTCAAGACGAAATTGTGTACATCGTAATGCAATAAACGGTAGAAAATTAAATCAAATTTTGCTACTTTCTTTCTCAGTAATATTTTTTTGTATATTATCAATGAGTTATGTTGGAAATAGTTAAAGGAACTCAAAGTTCTTTTTTAAATCACTTTAACAATTTTTTCTGTCCCTATTTTTCTCCCGGTATGTTGCTCTTATTTATCAAAAGTATTATAAAAATGCCATAAAAAGTTTTGAAATTTTGAATATCTCTCAAATATCTCTCCAAAAATTTTATATATATTGGTAATATATAAAATAAATAAAATTAATAAAGAAGCATAATATATTATTACAAATACTGTGTAAAAACTATTTGTATTACTATTGATAACAGGAACTAGATATTTTTTCAATATTGAGTTCTCTTTTAATATGGTAGGAATGCAAATATCATTTTATTCTCTCTTCACTCAGATTTGATAAAGATCGAAAATGTTCCATTTAGGAAAGCTTTTATCGAAGTTATATGGAAAAGACGCCAGAAAGTCTGCCATTTAGTCTTGGGGTAAAGATATCAGAAAATTGGCAACGTCTTAAAATCTCTTCTTTTGTTATAGGAAAAACATTGTAACCGTGTTTTTTACTTTGTAACCTAGAATTTTAAATACTAGTCGCATTTTGGCAAAATTTCTAGCAAAATTCTTTCTTTTTTAATATATATCTTTTTTTAAAATCAGTATTATTAAATAATTGTCTCATCGAACTAATTTTTTTTTCTTTGTAAGCAATATAATTTTAAACGAAATTTATTTTATTAACATTATTTATATTTTCTAAATGAAAAATTTTAACTTGTAGAACTATTCCACTTGAACCTTATTTTGTTGGATGTAGTACAGAATATAATATTTTGCTAGAAATTTAATCAGCCTGGCTACATAGACATGCAAAACAAATGAACAATTCAACTAAAGATTCTGCTTTGAAATTTTAAAATAAATATTGTTCTAGTTATAAAGCACAGTATTTATTTACAAATCAAATTTGTCTAAGATAAGTAGTACTCCAACCCACCCTAGGGGGTTTTATGGAGATAAAAAGTTAAATTATTGCATTAGATATTTTAGCTAAAAACTAAAAATACTGTAAAATTTTGAAAAATGATAGTGGTGGTGATCTGTTAGAAGTAAATTAACTGAAATTTAAGGTATTTAAAAAAAATTTAAAAGCAATGGAAGCTAAAAGCGCTGTGTAAAAGTCAAGAATTTAAATTATAACAAATTTGTCTAAGTATTTTTTTGAAAAAAGAATAATTTTTTAAACAGAATATACATTAAGAAAGAAAATTTTCCATGGTAAACTTTACCATGTTTCGATCTCGATTGGAACACCAAACAGTTAGGTAATTTGTATCGGAGCAATTTGGTAATAATTTCTGTAAAATTAACAATAAAATATAGTTTTATAAAACTATATAATATTCTATAAATGTGGTAAAATTCGGCAAATTTTATCACAATACCTAAGACTATGATATGAAAAACATTTACTCGTTCAGATGTATATTTTTTGCATAATTTCAGCAAAATGTGTGATAATATGAACTATAATTTTGCGAGATTACCAAAATTGCCATATAGATGTTTTGCATATTGTTTAGTTTGTTGTTATCAACCAGAATTATGCTTCTTTTTCATCAGAAATGTAATTACTATAGCTTACGGTAGTTTTATTTATCCGGGTAGTTTAATTTCTATAAAAGAAGTAAAACCAAATAAGTATTTCGTTAGTTTTAAACATGTTTTTGACGTTTCTTTAAAATGAAAAATATTATTTTAATGCTAAAGAATAATTCTATTTCCGAGTTTGGATTTACCCGTGATATACAACATTACCTCAAATTACTTTAAGGTAGTTGTTGTTTAAAGTTTTATCTGTTAAAAATTCAAAATTAATTTTTTTATTCATATGAATAGCCCTACCTTATATTCTCAGAAATAAACCTCTCAGCTTTGACGATATAGCAATCCTTGATCTATATTTCGTTAATTTTGAGAATTATTATGCCACGAAATCGCGTGGTTTGTGACGAAAAGGGAACTCTCAAATATATGAAGAAAATGTTTCCACAACTCGAAACCTCATCGTAGTGCACTGTGGGACATTGTTGACTAGAATGACGGAACTAGGATGACGGCTAGACTATCGAAAATAAAGTTAAGAAATAAACCGATGGTTGTCAAGGAATTGGTCTCGTGCCGGAAGATCCTGAGCTGAAATCCCACTACGGGTTTGGATGTAATTTATATCTCTGTTCTATCTGTCCTTCTTGTGTAATTAAGGGGACATTGAGCCAGCTATAGGGTACGGTGACTATTAGAAGAATTAAATTCATTAGGCAACACGAGATTTTGTTTTTTGGAAAAAATAGAATTACGAAATATTTTTTTAATTATTGACAGAATTCGTTTCCTCGGAGAAGTGATAATAGTTATTTCGTCACTTTGACGAAATGCTCGTAGCATATACAAGGTAGTTTCGTCAAAAACGAAGAACGTTTCATGAAATTTAAGTATAACTTTTTACCGTGTACCAGTTCTCATAGTTTATACCAAGTATTATAAGTGAGGTATCTGAAATTGTTATTAATAATTTAATCAAGAACATTTTGTTAAGATGTATCTACGCTTAGAATATTGTTGTACTAAACGTGAATAGTTAAAAACAAATTTATACATAATTATGTAAATTTTATATCTGTTAGAAAAAAAACTTCAGATTGAGTTATGAAATCTGACAGCAATGTAAAAAATTCCAGATCAAATCACTGTGAAAAGTACAGATAATCAAGTTATCGGTATTTTAATAATAAAATCTATTTTACCTGAACGAAAGAAATTTATACATCATAATATTTAGAGCAATAATTACCGTAAAATTCGTGAATCCCTTTAATTAAATGTATTATAAAACAGTGAAATTACAGTATGATATTTTTTGACAAAAATTGCTTTTACGATAAAATGGATTTTACGATAAAATGAATTTTAGAGATTATGATGCACCTAATGTGCTGGTACTTTATATTGTAATTTTATCCGGAATATTTTAACAGCGTACTTCGGAAAAAAAATTATAAAATGCGTCTGGCAAAGCTTATAATTCAGAATCCAAGGTTTTTTTTAAAAAAAAAAGAAAATTAAATTTTATTAAATATTTAAGATTTTACCACTTTTCAATTTATTAAAATCTTAAATATTCAATAAAGTCGACTTCTTTGAAGAAAAAATACTTGTATTGGGAATTAAAAACTTTGCAAAATGTATTTTATAATTCCTCTTCCAAAGTACGCTCTTAAAATATTCCCGATCAAAATTCAAATGAAAAAATTCATAATCTCAAAGTAACATAAAACAGTTATTTTACAATATTTTTAAAAATATCTTTCAGAGTTTAAAAAGGAAATTCTTCAAGTTTATTTTGATTTAATAAATAATAAATTAATAGTGTAAACATGAAATTAAGAAAATACAAAGGTGCCAATTTATAACTTCTTCAATTTAAAAATTACGATGTAAAAGCAAATTATCTTAAATTCATTCGAAATATTATTCATATTTGAAGTAAACATTAACGTAATTAATGTCTTATTAACTCTCTAAAAGTGTTTCATCACGTAAAATAAATTTAGTTTCATCACTTTCGAGGGTGACATTTTTGGAAGTAATAAAATAATACGTGAATGATTTTATCATTTAAAATGTTTAGGTTCTAGAGTTGGTTTTAGAGTTTTATTAGAAAGTGTTTCGTAAAAAGTAAATTTGATGTTTTTAAGCAATCAACAATTTCACAATAACGTAAAACTATTGATATTACAATTTAAAAAATAAGTTTACTAGTTTAAATTAAAAACTTTTAAAGTTAATTCAATTTAAATGTTTTTGGCCGCTAAACAATGTATTGATCTTTGAATACTTGAAAATAAGCATTGTTTTTAAAAGCACTTACGAAAATAAGAAAAGAGAAAACAAAAAAAATATTCAAAAATTGTTCTTTCAAATATTTTAAATGCTCCCATAATTAAAATGTAAATTAAATTATTTCAAGTTTAATTAATAGTGTTCTATGAATAAAACAAAACAACGTAAAGGAAACATAAGTAACGGTTGACGCTATTAAGAATTTTTCGGAAAAAATGGTTAAATAAAAACTTTTTTAATTTTCATTTTACCGTATTCTAACCAAACAATCAAATAACCATAAAGAAATAGCACTAATTCCAAACGTTTTCGCACTTTTTGTGAATTTATTTAAACTTTCAAATCTGATTACTCCCAATATAATTACTAAATTGAGTTAATAAATAAATTAATAAATAAATAGCTTAACAGTGTTCAATGCTCGATAGCTTAACAGTGTATATACTCCTTTTATTTTAAGTTTATAAAAATTTCAAAACGTATTAACATTAAAACTAAAAATAACAGTAGTTGAACTGATATTTATATTTAACAACGTTTCAATTAAAATAATTTAAACATTCTATAATTTCAGAGAAAATTATAGTTATTAATTTTCAAATGTTATATTAAGAAATTAATTAATAGCTAAATGTAAATACATGCAGCTTTATTGTTACGAAAATCAATTCGCAAATTAGCTTGTGAAATTATGTTTATTTTAGATTTTAAAAAATAAGATATTGAGAAACATTAGCCTAAATAATCAATCAATGAACTTACCCTTATTCTTAACTGTTAAGATAAAAAAACTGTCACTCATATATAGATCATGACCTATTAAAGCATTTGATATCAAATAAAGTTATCAACGCTAAAACGTAGTTACACCAATATTCTTCAAATAATTATAATAATTTCCTGAACAGTCCGCCTCTTCATCGTTATCGTCTGTTTCTGCTGCAACCGCGCGGTTAGAAGAGAGCAACAGTTAGTATTGGCACCAAATACGAAAGATTAGCATGGAGGAGGGGTGTTGAAGATTTTTATTTTTCATTATTTTTTTTCTGACAGACGCTTGCGCCTTCGTCAACAATTCTGAAGAGTAGAATCACACACTTTGAACTTGATATTGTATTAGATTAAAAGACTTGCTCTTTTTCTTTACCTACTTTCTGTTCATGAAAACGATAGTTGTCATTAATTAAAAAGAATGAATTTTCTCTTTAAATTTCTTTCCAAGATTGACCAAAGGAAATGATATTTGACTGGTTTAATCAAATATTATATTATATAAATGGTTGTCCTTGGTAGAGTTAAAGATGTTTGCTTTAAGTAGTCTTTTGTGTTGAAATATAAGAAAAGGGATATGTTTGTTTTTATTCCGAGCTTAATTCGTCTAGCTGAAATGGTATGTAATATTTTAAGATTCACGTGTGTTTTAAATAGACCTTTAAGAGACTCACTTTTTATCTCTCATGATTTACGTTCAAAATTAATTTATACAAATTAGCGCTTCCTTAGCAGCTAAGCTTAATTCGTCAAGCTAAAATAGTACATATTCTTTTATCTTTCGGTCCTTGAATTTTTTCGAATTGTTTTACGTAATCAATGCGAAACCTTTACTGAAAATGTTGCCTTAGAGATAATTTAAATCTTCGGCATTATCAAGAATAAAGATTTTATTCAATAAATTAGAGATGGACCATACATGGTTTATAGTTTTAATTTTGTTTACTATGTATGAGATTTTTAAAAAATATTGTGTTAATTAATGCGAAAACCTAACAAAATGAGTTATTATAGATGAACATGTAACCAATTTAGATGGAGAAATACCTGCGATTTTTGTGCCACATACGAGAAATGAAAGCATAGGTAAAAATCTATTTATTTGTCATAGAATTGTTGATAATTGGAACTCACATTGCCATTTACAGTACGAATCAATTGAGTTCCAAGATTCTACTAAATACTAATTAGACAAAAAAATCCATTTTAGAGTAAAATGTTCAGTTTGGGAACTGGGAAGAAGAATGAAGAAGAAAAGATCTGTAACACTAACAACAAAGCACACAGGGAAAAAATATTATGGAATTATCATAGGACACAATATAATGGGATATGTTATCTATATTTACGGATTACCTCGGCCATTAAAGAAACATTTACAACTTATCTACCTAATATTCTAATATTACACGAGCTGCTGAACACGATGTAATATGAAATGGTTTATATATATATATATATATATACTTATTTTAAAAATNGAGTATATATATATATATATATATATACTTCTAATTATTTCATATTACATCGTGTCTAACAGCTCTAATAAATTTCATACCTCAGTTAACACATGGCATATTGTTAACACATGGCCGAATACTAAATATTACGATGATGCCGTAACGTAAATTTAATTGCGGAAACTCAGCTTCGGAATTATTAACTTCGGAATAGGTATTTTAGGGCAACGGGTGTTTCTTCCGAATTTAAGAAGTTCTTTTTTTTTCTTTTTTTTTAAATCGTTCAAGTAATATATTTAGATTGCCTTAAAAATTCTGTTCTATATATGTTTACAGAAATGTTTTAATAAACGCTGTCATCCTAACTACTCAAAACTAGTTAGTAGTGGAGAAGAAAAAGTTAAATGCAAAGAAATTTAAAAGTTTTACATTAACTTTTTTTGCATTCTTAAGAACAGAACGTTATTGTTTTTTATATACCACGTGCAATATATAGCACATGAAATAAGAAGACTAATTACAAAATGTTTTTATATATATTTCTAGTTATCCCTATATGTTTTCCTTTTTTTAAAGAGAAATACTGGTTTTAAAATTAAGCATATAATATTTCCTGTTGATGACTAGCATTTTAAAAAGAAGCTGTACTCAAAAAAAAGCATTTCTTTCTTTCTCACTTTCTGCAATTTATTTTAAGAATTATTTTCCCTCTGGAAAATTGTATTTTAAGTTGTTGGCAAGCATTTTAATTGATTCATGAGTATAGTGTTTCTTAAGAGTGGTAATATAGGTACTGCCTTTTTCAGTTTAATGAAAAACTTTACTTAGGTTTAAGTTTCTATAAATCATCTCGTCGCGTGGAGTGAATGAAAGTGAAACTACATTTGAGGGAAATTTTTTCTCGAGAGTTTCATTAAAATAAATTAAAACCAACGAAGTACAAACTCGGAACTAACGGTTATATTATTTGACTTTTGGGTTTATGAAGATTAATAATGTCACTTCCTATCTCATGCCAAACACAATTTTAAAAAAACGCTTTTTATCATTATTATAAGTAAAGATAAAGATACTTCAAAATGTGATTAATGTGGGGAAAAAATGTTTTCTAAGAACTCTTTTTTTTCCAGTTTATCCAAATTATTTGACTGATTACAATTATTTTTTACTCGTCAAAAAAATCATAAATAAAAAGCACAACTCCCTAATAACCATTAATCGGTTTCATAAATTCAGAGACTTTATCCAAAACGTTTTATTTATCTTTTTGTGTTTTAGCAAAATGCGTATGATTAAATATTTTTAAAAATTTTCAAAGAGCATTAATAACAAAAAAGGGCTCCATTGAACTATTAATACATTTATACTGTGGAAGCAACTGCATATTAAAATAAAATTATTATTTTAATTAATTTAAAAATTCTCAAAAACAATTTGTCGTATCATCAAGTTTACATTGGTTTATTTTTGGAATATAACCGTTATGTAACTGTTTTAATTTCTAATTCATATTACTCTTTATCTGGAAAATTTGTTCGCGTGCAGTGCATACTATTAATATATACACCTTAAATATATTTTAACATAATGATTTTATAGAACTTGACTGAGAATTTTATTTTTTTTTAAATATTAATTTTAAATACATTGCATAATCAGAATGTAATTTCTTCAAAAATTGCTTATATGAACAAAACAAATTACCGTAATTACGATTTCATTGACCAGAATTTTTTATACCAAAAATATCATTATTATACAGTACGGTAATTTCTTCAGAAATTTTTTTTCTCCATGTAATTCTTGGATTTTGGAATCATCTAAAAATGCAATTGAAGTCAATAAGAGTTAATAGTAATAAAATCAATAAGAGTTAAAAAATACTGATAGAAATAGATTTTAACTGCTTCCCATTTCAAAAGTACATCAAATAAACCAAGTAACACATAAATTTATTTTCAAATTACTTTTAATGAAAGGCTTTGAGTACCGTCATTCGGGGATACTTTCCGTCATACTTTGTGCAGGATTTCGCAGTTTTTGAACTTTGACATGTAAAAAAACCATGTTAATGTAGAATCACACACTTTGA